TTATATATATATATATAATAAATTTATTTAAAGTTTCAAACTAATAAAAATGTTTAAAATTATGTTAATACAATACGTAAGCAGTTTATGTTATGTTTATGTAAATAAAAATGTAAAAATTAAGTATGCGATGTATTGTTTATAAAATGAAATTTCAACGATAATTCATGTTTAAATAATTAACCGAAAATTATAATTTTAATATTATAATTTTGTTATTATTATATTATTACTATAAAACAATAGCATAATTATGCACCTTTGTGCCCATCATGGTGTAGGTTTTGCCTGATGCACTCTGTCCGTAAGCAATCAGGCAAGAATTGTATCCAGAGAACATGGCATCCAAGATGGACTGTCCGAGTGTTTCGTAGATCGTCGCTTGAGTGGCGTAATTCTTTGTTTCAGGATCTGACGAATCGAAACAGTAGTCGAAATCATATCTTCGAGTTCTTTCGCGACTGTCCCCAACCTTGCTCGACGATACCTTTAAATTCGTCAGGGAAATCTCATTCGATTCTGCACGAACTACCACTGCGGACCCCGTTAAGTTTAATTCCCTGCGAATAAAAAAGATATATTAGTAATGCACTTAGGATTTAGAAATTTATATGTATATATTGTGTGTGTGTCTAAAATATTATAACATGAAAAGGTCCAAAAGTTTAGTAATTAGAAAATATACATAAAAAGGATCCAAGGGAAGTGCGACAATAAATATTTAAAAGTTTAAAAATTTAAAAAGTTTTTAAAAAAGCTTGAAATTTCTATTTATGATATCTATTTTCTTGAGAATGTGTGAACAAAACTGGTCAAATAAAGTATAATATATTATATTATAGAGCTTCAAAAGTGTTATTAAAATTTATTTTATAAAGATGTCGCAAAATTGGCCAGTCTAACGATCAAACGAAGTTTATAACGAGTGATATCGCCGAAAATATTTACGAGGGGGGGAGTCAATAAACTCATTCAAGCATTGCAAGCAGCTTTGCCAACATTTTCGAAGCCGGCATCGTTTTTCCACCTTCCTCGTCTGCATGTACTACGCTCTCTCGTCGCCATTCTTTTTTTTATTTCATCCTTTTTTTATCAAGCACATTTTTTCATGCTTCATGGATCGGAATCGATTCATCGAAAAGCGGTGGCGGCAGCGACAGCGACAACAGCGGTGATGCATACGACCATGCGTCGCGTTCACACGGGGGTATGCGCCCCCCTTGTCATTTTATAGAGGGCTTTGCCCGATTTTCTCGAAGCATTCCGCGCAACCAGCGTTTTATAAAAAGTTATCTGCTTTACGTAACAATATTTTGTTAATTTTACAGTCGTAACATGTAACACTTCGCAACAGGTATACTATTTTTAGTTACATATCAATTAACGTACAGATAAAAACTTATAAGCAATTTAATTATAGATATGTCCACAAATCTGAGTTTATTTTTTGTAATGATGTAATATCAATAATTATGCAATATATAATACTAAAAAATATTTTCATAAAGTTATTATTCTACTTATAATTATTATGAAAATATTTCATTATTATTTAAAGAAAACTGCTCGACTTTCAGGGAATATAAAATTGATACTGGTTTAAGAAACAAAATCATAGAATGTTGTAATCGAGGAATGTAAAAAGTATCAAATATATAATCCCTGTAAAAAGTGACTAGAATTGGAAATAATACTTTCTGTAAAAAAAATACACATATAATATATTCATCTTTGATGAGGAAAATAAAAATTGAGGACCGGAAAAATTTGAAGATATCGCTAGAGAGACATTCATAAATTCAAAGAATATCTTCCGATCCGAAGACATGCAACAAGTCTCGAGAACATCGAGGTTTACATCGCGAGGTTCATAGGTGGTCGCGTTTTGGGGTCAGTCGGTGTCGTGTGACACTGCATTTTGCATGTCGCGACAGGATAGAACGTTATGTACGCGATATCCTCGGTGCATGTAACATATACCCGGAGGAGGGCATTGCAGTGCTTTCACCCTGTACGGTTTCGTGTGATCCTGTTAGACACGTCCTAATCGGTTCGATCCGTTTCGATTTCAAACTGCATTTCGTATTGTAGTCCAAATTTTTGCTAATATATTTTACAGAGACAAGAGACATGCTGTGCATCTTTAAAATAAACTAAAAATGTCAAAAAAAAAACATATTTTGAAATTTTAAAAAATGTATGCAACACACGAATAGTACTGAGCATTTATAATATTACAGATTGTGATTACCTATTTTTTGTTACGCACACTGACAATTTTTTATTGATATTAAAAATAACACTGATATTAATGCATTTAATATGACGTTAAAAATTGAAATAAAAAGCGGACAGTAATGTTTATCATTAAATGTTTCGCGATAATATACCAGAAGTTTTTACACTAAATAACATAAAAAAGAAATATAAAAAAGACTTTATAAAATAATTTCATAAAATTAATAACAAAATAAGGTTGTAGATTTAATTTAGAAGACTTTAAAATACGCATAATAGATTTTTATGGTACCATGATGCAAGGGCGATTGTTGAATCGTCTCAACTTTCTGTTTATTTGTCTTCGCACTTTAATCACTTGAGAGTAACTTGCTAGAAACAGATTGCTTCCAACGAGGTTGTTGACGGACGAATGAACGTAAAAAGCATTATTTTTACTAAGCCTCAATTATGATCTCTCCAAGCGACTTTTCTTTTCTCCTCCATAATAAATCTACACAAATTTGTAAACAGAAACAAAGACAATTTGAATTTATGAATTTTTAAATTGTTAAGTTCTTAAACTTTTTTATTTTTATATTTTCTTAAACTCTTAATATTTAGAAATTTCTATTTTTTACTTTTGAATTCGTGAATTCAAGCTTTTAAAATCTAGATTTTCATGAAAGTAAAAATACATTTGCCTCCCTCATTAAAGATAAAAAAGAGAAAACATTTCTGCATTATTAGTATCAATAATGTACCGCTCTTTGAAAAAGTATATAAATCATTGTCATATATTCAACGGATTTATATGAATTATGGGACACTTTTTAAGACTTTGCTATCTCCACTGCGCTTGCATTGGCCGACGCATGTAAAAAAAGATCTGCGTATTCCTCTCGATTCTCGCATTTCACGGCGCCATAGGCCGAAAATAACAATGCTAACGCGTTAAGACGATTCTCGCATACCTGTCAAGCAGAAGCAACTATAAACGAAACGGATGCGCCAGCTGTCAAGCTAAGGTCGCTCTGCGCCCCGTCACACACAAAGTCATAGTCCCGCTCTCAATCTTTCATACGGTTGCACCCCACGTTAAGTCAATGGAAGTATTTTTGGCGTATAACACACTCTCGAAATCATTAAGCAACCTCGACGCACAGTCGAGAGAAATATCGGGTACGTTTATCCACGAAGAAAATTGAGGCATTTGGTCTTCGGTGCAAGAGTGAAGTAATTCAAGTATATCATTTGTGGAGTTCGGCCTCAGAATTAAACTCGGTCTCATATTCAAAGTGGATCTTATGAACTGGCTTCTCATTTTCTATTACATGAAAATATGTAATTTTAATTAAAGGGTAATCTTTCTTTAAAAATATATAAATTATGTGCACGTAATATAAAAACTAAAAGATTTAAAAGTATAAAAATTTTATCATCTATAATTGTAAGAATTTAAGAAATTAAAGATTTAAGTCTGAAGACTTGAAAGTATATCTATTAATTTTAAAGAATCTTTCCGTGTCTTTCTTTTCAAGATTCACGTATCACATATAAAGAAAATTTTGTCTTTTATATTAAATTGAGTAACATATATACACTATGTAAAAAATAAACTATAAATAAAGCTCAGTGAAATTCAAATACTCTTCGCATGACTACGTGTAATAGACTTCGGCGTGTAAAATCATTCATTTCCTGTTGCAAACGAATTTCGTGAGAGATACTCCATTCTACACCTTTAAATACTCACGGTTGGAGTTTAAATACCGATTGCACTCGATTCGTGTGCTTGTATAAAAGGATGGATTTAGAAAATTTCAAAATAACTTTTCGAGAAATTAAACATTATTAAAATTATTATATTACATATATATTATTCACACATTCTTAGCGTATCAGCTCTTCTCTCGTAAGAGATAATTTTAGATTTGCGTGTAAATAATAGACATTACAAAAATATTTGAGAGTCAACTCTAAATCCTCGATTGTCGAAAGAGAAAGAGAGAGAGAGAGAGAGATACAAAGAAGGTATCTACAATTAACACTCCTAAATTATTCAGCTAATGCAGCGCGACACGAATGCAATGAATCATGCTTTAATTACGATTTGTAGCGCGAATAAACGTGCAATAACTCGCAACAGAAACCTTCTGCGAAGGTCCTCAAGTTCTCGACGCTCAATTACTTTCGTCTGCGCTTCCGGTGACTCCGCTTCGGTCGCCTTTACCACTCGCGGACGAACGCACGCGTCTTTTTGCTGCGACCCTAGTAATCTAAGTATAGAAACGAGTTCATAAGTGTTTGCACCGACTGAGGCCGTGCACCAGTGCTTAAATTGAAAATTTGAAGATGTAAAAGTCTCTTGATGGAAAGATCGAATTTAGTGTAGCCTTAAAAATCTGATAACTAATGTGGAAATAAAGGAATTACTCAAAGTGGCCCGAGAACCTACCATGTACAAAATTTTTTTACTAAAGATTTAAGAATAAAAGGTTTGCGATTATATGAAATGGAAAAATCTGGCAAAACGTCTAAACTTTCAATTCTTACGCCTCTCAATTCCTATTCAATGTTCCGAATAAGTCTGAAGCGTAAAATAAATTGAGATGGTTATTATTTAAAGTACAGCTGAGTCCTAAACCTTGACCTCCACTAGCATAGGTATTAGGTACCTGCTGGGAAAAAGTCTTATTACTTTAGTATTCCTATTATTATTCGAATAACTTAATTTTATTATTATAGTTTATTATATATTATTTTATAATAATTTATGCCAATATAATGATGCTTGAAAGTAGCAATTATTGATTATCATCTTTTTAAAACATTATATACTAACATTTTACGTGCAAATGTGAGAAAAGAGTAATGAAAAAAGCACCAAACCTTGACCCACATTGGTATACTTCGAACTTCGCAAAAACATAAAAGAAAAGAATATGCGATTCTTTCTGCTGTATCTAATATTTTTTAATAATTTTAAACACCCAAGTTTGGATTGTTTTTTGTTATTAAGTGCGTTCCCGAAGAATCCAATCGGATATTATCAACATTTTTGTTCAAATTATTATATTGAAATTTATTTATGTATAAAATTGGAAGTAATTATATTTTTTATTTTTTTTAATCGATTAACCGGAGAGACTCAATATATAACATCAATATAAAACAAACCGAAGTATTTTCAGTTCCAATGACAACACGTACAACTCAAGATATGTCTCTTCTAGAAACCATATCGATATTTATGTTATCGATATTATATATCTGTGATTATTTTGTTTCGTTATTCTTTCATTCAACTAGATTTTCTTTAAAATATTTTCAGAAAATCGCATTACACTTATGTTTTTAATTAAAAATGACTAAAGTAGCGCTATCTTATCTTGCGTTTTAACCTTATTATTTGTAGTGTATTATACAAATATAAAAGCACATTTTATATGAAAATAACTAAAGTAGCAGACATATGAAGGCAACATTTATTATAATTACTCTCTAAATAATTTCAATGCATGCACTTTCCAAGAAATATACAAAAGTTAACAAAAAAATCAAAACGACTTTATTTTTATTTTTAACATCAATAAACAGTTAAATTTTCTAATAAAAAAATCACCATTTTAACTTTTATGACGTTAAAATAAAGTTATTTCAATTTTTTCTTGACTGGATGTGTCCTTTGAATTATTATAATACATAGATTTATAGATATTCGTGAAAAGATTAAGTATCTCATCAAAACAAAAGAGATGTACTCACCTAGCAGATACCGGTCTGACGCGCACAGCCACTTTGATGTTCGCCATATTATCATCTCGCGGATAACAATATTAACGTCATCCGACTATCTACATTTCGCTGATATTTCCAACGACGAAGAATGGAAGTCCAGATTGTCACGGATATTAAAAGTTAACGACAGAATGCACGAAAACGATCACTAATACGACTCATTACATCTTTTAGAGATCGAATGTATCCGCTGATCGCCACAAATTTGGTGCGAGCTGGCAGAGAGTGATCGAGACGAATGCGTGCACCGGTAGTATTGGGTGCACGTGTTGCACTGCCGCGATGAAAATACCCTCGAGTCGCTCCCAAGACCATCTCGCTTCGTGGTTTACCCCACCAGGAGTGAGCGAGTTTAGTGAGTACCTCGGCCGAACTCACTGTGCCATTTTGCTTGGACGTTATCCGATTCCTTGCCGCCGACGACATCAGTACGGAAAAGAGAGCACGACAAATCGCCGGTGAATTATGTATACAAGGCGTTCCATAAAACGCCAGATGGTAGTATGATTTGGATTTGGAAGAAACGATTTCGGGCAACTTGCCACATCGAGTTTGTAGAGTACAAAGGATTTGTGAATGTGAGAATTGAGAGATTTAAGTGTTTGCTGGAGCTGAGTGCTCAAAGATGTCAGGATTGGGGATCTATGTACTTAAGAGCTTAAGAATCTAAAAATATAAGGGCTTCAGAAACTTCGAAGCTAAGAGCTCAAAGATCTAGCACTCCAAAAGCACAGAGATCTAAAAATATAAAAATTTAGTAGTTTGAACCAATTTAGATTAGATTAATGACGTTTTGCATATTCTATTATTGGTAAAGCATGTAATGTCAACCAATAGTAGAGCAATGTCATTAATCCAATCCAAAAGTTGATTCAAATCTGTTACGGTCGAAAACGCTATGAGAAACGACTCTATGAATTAAAAAAATTAAAAGCTCTAGTAATCTAGAATTTTAATATTCTCTCTAAGAATTTTGAAGGTTTATATTATGCATTTGTTGATTTATATATTTAAGAATTAAAACATCAAGATCTTTGAAAAATATATAATATTGAAAGATTCTCTTCTTCTCTCTCTTAAGAGAGGATGTATCTAATACGTAGATCCTTTATTGGAGTCTAATTGATAATAGATATTATTGGAGTTTGATTCTCATTACGAAAAGAATTTTGCATATAACACTCATCTTGACACAAGTAATGCGCGCATTTAATTTTATTTAAATCTCCTATTGTATGGAACAAGTCACGACTTACGGATCGCCCTGTAATTTAGCAAACAGAACTCGGCGGAACAAGCAAGGACAAATTGCTGTTGTTGCGGTATCGTTGATTATGTACCCCTCCCCCCTCTCCTTCCGTACAACGAGGGCATAGTCACCGGCATGTCTCGGTGTTTAACGGAGTTACTGGGTTACCGTGCTGCACGGTGGTGACGACCGCGACTTAACGCGGGTCTATCGGTGGGGAATTAATCAGAGGGTCAAAGGGTAACTGTGTTTGCCTGCGAGGGAGGGAACGTTTCTCAATAATTTAACAGAAAGCACACACAGTCTCCGTTAAGAAGGCTCTTTCGAGTCATCGCGGCCCGCTCCCCTTATATGTGTATTCCATTTCATCACTCATGGTCCCGATTTCTTTGAAGCACTTATTTCATCTGTCTTTTATATCTTAAAAGTGCGCCGACTTTCAGACGAGATCTCACTTTGATCCGCGCATGATATTTTCGGGCTAGTAGATTGACTAATGTATTTTCTCTGTGAGATAGAGCTAGCACTACGATTGCTAGTGCTGTTGATCGTAGTTGATCCTTATTACTTCTCGTTCGTAGTCATCAAAACCATTATATAAGAGAAAGACGTGCTGAGCACCTGCAATATATGTATAATCGTTTGTCATATTGTATATTATAATGTAGCATATATATTGTAGCATATCGTATTGTATATTGTAATGTATTGTATTATTATAAGTTAACTCTCTGTCGGTAACGTATAGTTTAACTATTACTTTTTTAAATTATCTAACCTTCTGCAATATGTAATTTTACATTTTTCATTAGCAACCTGGATTTTTTGAATTTATAAGTTTTTATATAGTTTCAAGCGTTATAGAATTCTGAAAAAATTCTTGCATACGGTAAAAGAATGATTTTTTACTAAAAGTTTACCTATAAAAATTCAACTAAATACAGATCTGAAAATAGTTTTATTGAACTATTAAAATAATTATACAGGAATCTGAAACATAATGAATAATGCTGTAAAAAGTTTTGATATTCTAGCAACTATGGTTTAGCATTTTACGTAATATATGTTGGTGATTCAATAAAATTATTTTTAGATATGTATGTAGTTAATTTCTAAATACTTCAGCAAAATTCTTTCTGTGTATGAAAACTTTGATAACGAATTTTTAATATCAAATTAAATTTTACTTTATTTATTTGTTATAGATTTTAATTTATCAGAATTTATAATCAGAAAACTGATTGTGCCTTCATCAAAGTTTACATTGCTGACGAAAAGATACAAACTAATTGAAATTAATTTACTTATTAGAAAATATTAAATATTTTATTAAATAAAATATTTTTTTATAAAACCTATAAAATATATTTACACATATATATTTAATATTTTTTTGTAAAATTTTGATAAAAGATCGTTTGTCAACATTAATAAATATTTTAGCGTACACGAGATAATTATGTAATTAAGTCTCGAGGTATATTGTCTAAAATTAAATTTAGTTATTGTTTGACACAATAATCTACTCACTCGAGAGAAACTTTCGAGAGACACGTTGTAGAACTTCGCAGCGGTGATCCTAGAAGGAACTTTCGACCGCATCATCACGATCTGCAGACTGCGACCGAAGGTGCCGCCGATCCAGTAGCTACAGTAAGCCGACTTGCTCACGGCATCGCTCTGGTTCGTTACAAACGTTGGCCGTAAATTAATTACAGGCGATTGTAAGCTCAACGAACTATGTACTAATGAAGATACATGCGTTTGTAATCGGTCGATACGATTATCGTGCATTCAGTCTTCCATCGCTCGTTAAAATTCGTGCAATTGCGATACGCATGCAATCTGATACGTTATCTAATAATCTACGTCGAATAAAAATTTACGTATATAATGACATAATTATAACGTGAACTGATAATAAGATGCATAAATTTTGCAGGAAAGGATTACAATTTTGCACCACGATATTAATTGAATATAAATTTTATGCGTTTGCTTATACAATTAACAAAAAAATAGCAGACATTGTAATAACCAATTTACACAATCTAAATAACTAAATAAACCGAATAATTATAAATAGAAATAATAAATAGAAAATTAATTTAAATATTTATTTGCTTATCGAGCTTCACAGTTTTGATTTGATCAAACAACATGTAATTAGATATAGTATACTCGCCTCGTCTATTAACGCGTGCCCGCTGAAACTGAACATGAAAAGCTCAATGATGGCGGAGTTCAAAAACATCCAGTATTTCATCAAGCGTATCTTGTTTTCCAACATCTAGAATAACATTTTGCAATATAATATTTTTAGTTATAACGCGTTTTTAGCAAGCAAACACACCGCAGTAATTTGAAATCCCGCGAAGCAAACCAAACCGGTACTAACAATGAACTGCCCTAATACCAAGATGTTTATGATTCTTTCGAGCGCATCCGCGAAACTAAAACACAAAGAAAGCGAAGAACGATGGCAAAAATAGCATTATTGTATCTACGTATAATACAGTAAATATACAGGATATTGTCACAAAATTGAAAATCAGTCAAAACTTTCTGAAAAATTAAAATTTTTTACTGTAAAGAAATTTAATATGCGTATATTATATCTATAGTTTTGGAATACTACCGACTTAACAATTATATAAATGCAAGTAATATCGATAATATTACGTATAATAGAGGATAAAAATACACAAATTTTCAAAATATATTATTGAGAGCAGGGAAAGTCATAAAATTTTGTTTGAAAATTAGAGAAAATTATGGAATTTTAGAGTGAAGAATTTGTGACAATCCTGAAATATACGGCATAGATAGTTTTTCTGAAGTATCTAAAAATTTAGCTTAATACAAATCTGAAAATAGTTGTTTGGATCAAAATAATTATATAAGGATATCAAAACTTTTTGCAGCATTGCTCAATACTTGAGATTTCTAATGAATAATTATTTTCAGATCTATATCTAGTTAAATACAATTTTAGCAAAATCATCGTTTCTGTATATCATAGACAAATTTTATTAATTGCAAATAATATATCTTCACCCACTTTAATTAATCAACATTTAACACTCAAATTTGATTTTAATAATTTTAATAATCAACATTTTTAATAATCAAATTCGATCTTATTACACTTAACATATATCAGGGTTGGAAAAGTTTCTTTTTTGAAGTTACTTATAAGTTTTTTTGGTTGCCTAATATGTCTGTTATCGAAACTGAATACAAAATGTAATACAAAATTAAAGCATGATAAAATATAATATAAAAAATAAAATATGCGAACTAATTGTACTGAATTTCTATAATAAAAAGTAACTTTCTTAACCCTGGATAATATAAATACTCACGTAATAGCATTTTGATGATCTTTGATACAGTTTGTTATTACTCTGTCAATATCGGGATCATTGCTATTCATTGCTTCGAGTTTCTTTCGTAGCACCGCGAATTTCGCTGATCCATGTGTTATCGCGACAAAATTGAAAATGGTCCCGCCAGCTATCGTGCCAGCCGCAAAAAAGCCACCCATTACATTGAAAATATAGATACATTCGTAGATGGGTGTGACCGATTGATTGACGTAAAAATAACCACGGAAAGGAAATATCTTCTCTTTTCCAAGAATATATGTCTAATCAAGTATGAATTAATATTTCTGAGAGTTTCGACAGATATAATCGCTATTTATTTAAATAATTAATCATCTTATTATTTATGTAAGGATTATATTTCAATCGAGAACAGAAA